TGAAGCCCATATCTGGTCCGTGCTGCATGGATGCACCATGTACTCGGGACCCCCCTGGAGAGGGAGAGCTCAAGCAGATCTGATGCCTTAAAATGGGCTCCCACTTTTTTCTAATGAAGCCTGAAGTCAGGTGGCTGGCTTATGCTGTCTTGTGGTCCTCGAAGCACATCTCCCAAATGTGGCTTATTGCAGTGTGGATATTTTGAAGTGCAGATAAACGAGCAGCGTGTCAGGAAACATGGGAGTCAGTTTAAGTCAGCTCCTGAACACAGTCTTCACATCTTGAGGCTGACATACCCTTCAAAGAACGTGATTCTCCTTGCTTTGCATATGGTGTAATCCATATAATTTTTTAATATGCTGTCACATGAAGACAATGTGATAGCAACGCAGACCACACAGGCTATTTGAGGATTCAGGTCATTACGTTGATTCTATAGTATCAGCATCCAAAACACAGTTCCTAGTGCAAAGACTACCCTTTTTGGAAAAGTGGGGTATTTTTGGGCTTAAAACAGGATGAAAATTGTGGTATGGAGCACTGAGAACGTTGCCAGGCTGGACATAGGCCAAAACAGCTTTGTGATTATTTCAGTGTGCGCCAGAAAATGCCCCAGTCACTGGCATCAAGAGCACCAGGGGAGTACAAGCTAAGCATAAAGACTGATTTTATGGATGTTTCAGTGGGCCATTAACTCAATCCATCAAACCGTCTGCCTTTTTGCTAGGACTAAGCATGAGTCTAATGTCCCAGGCTGGATAACTGTCAGGTGTAATTGTCTACAGATGAGAGACAACTGTGCAGCATGAAGTAGAGGAGAAGTAAATAGCGTAAGGGCACTTGATCAATTTTCTTCATTTTCTACATTCAAGAGTCCAGCTACCCAGCTGGCCGCCAGAATGCAAATGGTCTTACATATGTAATGAAAAAGTCCACACTGGTGGCAAAAGAAGCTGAGATGACAGAGGCCAGATGACTGTCCTGATGAGCCCCACACAGACGCGTAGCTCGTCTGCTAAAATCTGCTATCCTCCATCCAGCAGTCCCAATCTTTCATCCTAGTAAGTTAAATTTTTCTAAAAAATTGCTATCAGCACCTGCCTTTCAACCTGCCATACGTGTGTTAAAATGCTGAATTATAGCTTTTGATGCTTTATTCAGCTTATTCCTTACAGGTGCTATGGGAAATAGCTCTGCTGTGACAGATTCATACTTCATTCTGTAGCATTTTAAGGGTGCCCTGCCCTAAATTTGAAACACTATAAAACGTCCCTTGGCAGTGCATGCACTCCTAGCACCTTCATCGGGATCAGTGAAACACTGTACTAAAGGGGTTTGAATCTCAGCTGTAATAAGCTATTAGTGTTACCAGGTCAGTCAGATAATTGTGAGGTGAGGTCCTGCTCTGTTTTAATTCTTCTTTATGCTGTATATTGGGTCCCCTGCATTTACTAACATAACAGAGATACTCCACAGAATCTTATCGAGGCAAATCACTAAAGGATGCCCTGGTCTAATAAGCCCCCATCTATAGGAGGGAAGGCAGAGGATGGGGGCGATGTGTCCTCCCATGCTGTCCTCCCTGAGGCAGCTGCAAGCTCTGCGGCTCTCGGGGTCATCTCCTCTGTCACCAGCCTCAGAGCACTCTGCCTCCAAATCCAGATCCGGCGCAGAGAGAAGGATTCGCTGCTGACAGCGTGACGTCAACTGGACAAACCTTGTTCCAGCCCATCAGACTTCTGAGTGTACTAGCTTTGGCTTTGCTGATAAAAAGTCAACAACAGGATTATTCTGTAAAGATCCAGGGATTTTATTGGATCTCTGTGGGTGTGAAAACTCTTGTTTCGAAATCCATGCACGTCTTTGATAAGGGTATTTGACAATCGGCTTGCCTGCTGAGACAGCCTGGTTAAAGCCCATCCAGGTTGCGCTGCCTTAATATCACATTGTTGTAACAGGGTTAACCAGAAAGGAGAAAAGGTCATTGTCTTCATTCATCATTTGCAATTTTTCTAATCCCTTGATATGAATAGTGTGACGTCACTGGAGGAGGATTTTTGCTCAAGATTAATTGGGGGAGAGGTATACAGGGTTTGTATAACCTGATGAATGCTTACTCTTTTACTTATAGCCAGCTATTTTATTTTTTTTTCAGCAGTATCCTGCAATCTGGTTCAAGTACTCTCTATGTCTATTCAATTCAGACCTGCCTGTTTTAAGCAGATTTTGCTTAATCTTAGCTCGAGCTGGTTGCTGTCTAATAAAGACATATGGTTTGCACTTTCTCTCTGCTGAGAATTGCTGCCCACTGTGCATTTTCACTGTCAGCTGGACACCAAGATGGGCTGCCTCCGTGTTACCTTGGATTACAGATTAAAATGTAATTAGCAGAAGGGCTTTAACCGGATACATTCATCCTGGGTTTTGTCAACTATGACAGACACAAACGAAAGAAATGCCTAGCAAAAAGAGGAAAACTTTTTAGTGTGTTGTAACCCTGCACAACTAGAAGCAAATTTAAAAAACCTGGATAAAGGGAAAAACACTGGGCAGAGCCCAAGTACAGGACATCCTTTCTGCATGCTGCAAACAAGGCAGTTCAGAGCCTGCTCCCAGCTGGAGCGTGTGTGTGTTTGTGTGATGGCTAAATGCATCAAATGGAATAAGATCAGAAGTCAGTAAACCTCAGTGATTTGCCCTCACACAGAATATTAAATGGTAACTGTATCCTCCCTAATAATAGAGTGACTACAAATATCTTTCTGTGTTAAGTCCGCCTCAATAAGTTTTTCTCAGGGTGACCTGCCACATCCCTGCAGTTTTCAATAACCTATAGTGGTATTATTACTGTTGTTGTTATCATCATCATCATCAACATAATCATCTTGCTGATACTGTCATCCCCATGTGTCATCTCAGAGGGCCTTTGGGCAGCAAATCAGTATATCCTGCATGCAGTTAAGCATAGAGCTAATTACACCCTGGCCCTGGCCAAGGAGGGATATGCTGACCCATGGCATGGGGCAGTCCAGAGCCTCCCCACATCCCACCAGTGGGCAGAGCCCAGCTAGGGCAGCTCCCAGCAAGTCCCATGGGTTTTGGTGCGGCCTGGCTGGGCAGCACCTGGCCTGCCTGCCCCAGGGATTGTGGTGCACTGGGCAATGCCACGAGATGCCCCAGGGCATGGGTGGCCAACGCATGCTGCTGGTGTGTTGTATCAAATGACACAGGTCTTGCATGGGAAGCACTCCCTGAATCCTGGGATAAAACACCCGAGGGATGTGCCCAGCCCAGCTAGTGACACATCCCCATCCAGACTGTGACTGATGTGGGAGCAGAAGGGCAGGATGGTGGTACAGCTCTCACAGGGGGAACTCAACATGCTGCAATTTAGAAAATATAAGAAACGCGTAAAAAAAAAAAAAAAAAAAAAAAAAAAAAAAAAAAAAAAAAAAGGTAGGGATTTGCTGCCCTCTGCCAGGATTTTCTTCCAGCTCTGATTCTCTGTGAACTGTGAGAGCAGTGCTCAGCGACCACACTTCAGCACAGCAAGGTCTCTGCATTTCCCAGTTGGTTGTAGGCAAAGCAGAGTGATCTGCTGGGCACCACTGGTCTCCCTGCAGCCTGCCTGGAAAGCCCAAAGCCCATGCTGATCCCAGGCAAGGGCTGGTGTAAAGGTCAGAGCTGTTGGGCTGGCAGGACCCCCTTGTCCCATCTCTCTATCCCTCTGGGGGAGATGGGGCAGTAAGCCTGACTTTCTAAAGCTGGTCCTTTTGTTGGTTGTCTCCTCACAAAACCCACCATGTTCCAGCTTTGGCTGTACATCATAGGCTGTACAACATAGTGAGAAACTTCAGTCTGGCCTCTAATGCTGGCAAGCCCTGAGTGGCTTTTCTGAGTTGGTATGGTACAGGTATTATTGGTATGGTATACGCTGTCTGAGAGATACTCAGCAAATTGGGCTAATTTTCATTAACATAATTTTCCAAAAAGCCCATTAATGTCGATATGGCACTTGTGGATATGTGGATAGTGGTTTTGAAAACCTAGGCCTCCTCTTCACTAAACGCAACATATTGTGAGTCTCATGGGGTGAGATTTCTCTGATGAAACGTTGAGATCTGCAGTGTCTACGTCATACTGCATTGGTCCTGCAGACCACCTGCCTGGTCAGCGGGAGGAAGAGGCACTCTTGGACACTTCATAGAGCTCTGATGTCTCACACTGTCAGATGACTGTATCCTAAAAGCACCCACGGCTTATTAAAAGTACCTAGGTTGGCTACCTAGGATGTTGATATTTTTGCTGCAGGTACCTGAAATTAGGTCATGCTAGTCCTACCCTAAAATAACAAAGAAATGGGGGAGTGGGGAGGTCCAGAAAAGTACCCCAGGTACACAACTAAGACTCATTGTTTTTCTGTTTTGAGATACAGGAAGGATAACACAGATGAGCTATACCCATTAGTATGTGTAACAATCTGGCTGCCCATATATCCAACCCATGATCCTCACCTCCAGCAGGTCACAATCCCAGGAGAGATGAACAGGTAGGCGAGGACTGAGGAAGAAGTACAAACAGGACTCAAATACAAATCCATGGTCATCCCTGATGGCTGATTGTACAGCTGTTTGGGATTGCCACAGGGTTTTGAATGCAGTGGGGAGCCTGGAGTTTGAGGATGGATAAGACTTTCTCTCTCTCTTACATATAAGTATGCAGGTTTTGCAGTGTGTCTGGTTTCTTTTCTGCTTAATACACACATAATTGGCATGGACCTTGTGACTAATGATTCCATTTGTAACACTGGCCACAGGCCTTAGCATCAAAGTCCACATTGCACAGTGCAGTGCAGTGTAGAGCTATCGTTGCTGGTCTGGAAGGCGCTAGCTCCATGTGATGGAGCAGCCAGGCTAATAAATAGCTCAGAGCAAGCATTCATGGATCTGCTTTATAGCTGTCAGGGGTTTGAACTTGTATCCCTTTATGGTACTGCACGATGACGGTGAAATATGTGTGCTTGTTTAGAGCTATTCGGGGTGCCTCTGGCTGGCACTGTACTAGACAGGTCAGGGATATTCATGACCCTGTGAAGACGGTGATAAAAGGCAAGGTTTGATTTTACAGTTATCTTTGTTATTACTGAGAGAGCTTGAAGAATAAGGAAACCTTTTCTTCATCAACCTTTTCAACTGCAACAGCCACAGCCACTAAGACATCCTGGGGCCCACTGAAGTGATGGCAATGTCCTTGGTGGTTTTAGTAAGACCTGGATTGATGAGACCAGCAACTGTGGTTGCACTGGCTTCCACAGACCTATGCTGATTTACTTCAGCTGGGAATCTGCCCCTCTATTTGAATTAGATTGCACCTACTTTGTTTCTTCAGTGTTAGCATGGTAGATACCTTAGAAGTGACTGATACCAATTCATATAGCTATATACGGAATAAGTACTAATGCCTCTTCTGTCATGTTATACAGACAAACTGGGAGATCTTTCTAATGTTGTCTCTTAAGTCATGAAAATACTGCCTGAAAATGGGATGCCATTATGCATCATTCACCTTTCAGCCCCTGGCACGGCTGTGCATAGCACTCATCTGGACTTTCCTTGCTATGAAACCAGCTCGACCACTGGTTTGGGAGTGGAAGACTTTCCTAGCCACCTGACAGACCTGTGCCCCCTGACGTGTGACGTTGTACTGAACCTGGAAATGTCCCATATAATTGGAAGCCCATTAGCTAAAGCAAGAGGGCAGAACATGACCATATTTTATTTTAATAGGCTCGGCTCTTATCCTTGGTACACATCACAGGAAGCCCCTGTTAATGGTGGCCTACCCCAGAACTTCAGTTTCCAAACTCATCTGGAAAAAGCCAGCTGTGACGTTAACTATCACATCCCACCCAGCTAAGGATTTCAATGGATTAGCTGTCATACACTGGGAGCAATGGTCCTCAGTGTGCCCGCAACTGGGATGCAAAAGGTGTCTACAGAAGAACAGCCAGGAAACTCATAACTGAAATGGGAGGGAATATTTCAGCAAATGAAATGAAATGAACATTTTGCCAAACTTTCCTTTGAAGACAGTGCAAAAGCTTTTATGAAGGAAACAATTGCATTAGGAATGAAAAGCAGACCAAAGGGCCTGTGGGGATGCTATTTATACCCTAACTGTCACAATTACAGTTTCTGTGATCAGAACTACACTGGTTCCAGCCCAAAGAGTGAAGTTTTGAGGAACAAGGAACTTGCCTGGCTCTGGGATAGCAGCGCAGCCCTGTATCCTTCCATTGGCATTACACAATCCCTCGGAAATAGGCAAAACGTTTTGCATTTTTCTCAGTTTAGGATGAATGAATCCATAAGGATTACCTCCATGACATCCCAAGATTATGCTTTCCCTGTATTTGTGTATCCTTAACTAGGTTATAGAGATGAACATTTATTATTTCTCTCTATGGTAAGCTGTTCCTGGAACAATGTGGGCTGCATTTATGCTTTAACCATTATTGCAGATGGCACATCAGAATGGAAATCCTCCTACTTGTGCCAGCTCTGCTGGTTCATGTTAATTGTCCACATGCTTTAAAGAGCTCAATGTTCTGAAGAAAAAATGCAGCCTCAAAAACCTATTTTTTTTTTTTTGCTTTAATTCATCACTATGCTATACTCAAACATGCATTTGAATGGATTAAAAGGATTTCAGCAATTTGATGTAGTACGTAGGAGGCAGTTAATACATTAATCCCCCCTCATGTACTTTCTTCTGCTCAGGTACGCAATCACTAACTAATCCCCAGATAGCTGCCCCTTTTATGGAAGGGAAACTGAGGCAGAGATATTTGCAACTTGCTCAGTGTTACATCAGAATGGGAAATTGAAACCATCAGTCTTTCTGCATGCCTACATCTCAAAAACATTTAACTTTGTCCCATACCTACCTCGGAGCGGGCAAATGGTGCACCAGAACCAAGGAGTACTGCTCACAACAGCTGAACACACACACAAGGATTTTCAAGATAAGTGCCTTACCCGACTCCTTCTTTATGTGATTCTGGACATCCTCCCAGAAACTGGATGAAGACAGTAGGTTTCCTGTGAAAAGGCAGCATAACCTATCTGTCACAGCCCTGGCTTCATTCTCCCCTGTAGACAGCGGCTGCACTACCAGCAGGTCTCAATTTCTGTGTTGCAGAGCTTAGCAAGTGAGCTGTATTCAATTTTAAAGGGCTGTGCTCAGTCTCTCAGCCCAGGTACAGAGTCTGAAGCTGGCACCTTGTCTGGGAAGGAGCATTAGTTCCCTCTCCTATTCGGTCCCGCTACTCCCCTAGCACTGCCATCACCCACCACACTTCCCAGTAAAAGGCTGTGCTTGTCTCCATCTTGAAGGCAAATGCCTGTTCTTAGGCATTAAAGGAGGTGATTTGGTGGTTTTATCCATCTTGCCCTTCCTTAGCTTTGCAAGAAGAGGATAGATGGACATCAATAACTGCCGCAGGCTGGTGTGTGTCCCCTTTGCCATTTTATGCTCAGTTTCCTCCTCTTTTCCCCTTCAGACAACTAATTCCTGTGAAGTTTTTCTACTTTTATTCTTGATGTGCTGTGGCCCTCGATCTCCCTTAAATCAATGATATTGTCTACGGAGTCACTTGCATATCAGTGGCCTTTCGTCTTCAGTGCTTGTGGCACAGTAAGTCACTTGTTGCTGATCCTTAATCACTGTTCAAATTAAGGAAAAACATCCAAGCACCAAATACTTAAAGCCTGCAATATGAGGAAAAGGTACAGTGAAAGACATCTTTCTGAAACAAACCTAGAAAGAGCGTGAAAATGAAAACTGAAGGTTTGCCAAGTGTTGCATTTTCCCTTTCATTTAAGGTTGCACAATGCTGGCATTCTCCCTCCTATAGTGTGTGCCTATTTACAGTCACTTTTTCTAAGGTTTTCATAAGATTCTGAGTGAGCTCCTAGGGAAAGCAGCAAGAACAATGCAGGCCTTCGGAATCACAGCTTTCAAATTGGAGAGGGACTGGAAAACGGCTGATTGACACGGCAGAATGGCTCTCTCCTTCCCCTTATCAGCAAAAACAGAACTGAGGGAATGCTTTAGGGAATTCTCATGTTAAAAATCCTACCCTAATGAAAAGATTTGAGTTGCTTTTAGTAATTGATGAGATATCAAATAATTATAATTAAATTTTGCATGAAAGTAAATTAAAATAGATTTTTTTTCCCCAGTGTTTGTTCACTTGCTTATGACCAACATCTCAGGGAGTACCTCAGTTTTCAAGCTTTGTTTAATAATCTTTGTACTCTAGACAGCAAACCTTTAGCCACAATAAAATATAGATCATAGGGATCAGAATGAAAAGAAAATGTAGTCTGAGGGACAGCCACATAGCAAACAATTGGATTACTTTAGAAAGGCTGCAAAATGCTGAATTAGCCTGACAGTGATGTCTTTACTCTTTTCACTGCAGCAAGATCTTACTAACACTACCGGAGAGAGTGCCCTGGGAGCTGCAGGCATTGTTATTTGGTGAGATATGAATTTAACTTCTTCAGAGGTAAGCCTGTGCCTGATTTAAATGCAATGTGTAAAAGATCCTCATTTTATCCTATTAATAGACACCGTCTGACCGCACCAGCTCCGAGTACAGCAGAGCTGACTGCTTAACCAGCCTTTGCGGTCCCCCCATCAGGGTGACCATGGAACACAGTAAATTCTTCCTGGCTCAACAAGGTCTTGTGAGGCTTAGAGGCAACCTGTGGTAGGGAAGGAAGCCAATGGCTAATACCAGGAATTTTGGAAGACAGTTCCTCAATAGTTATCATCCTGGTCAGATGCCTTTCCAGTTGGATGAAACTCCAGGAAATCATCTAGAGCCCGATTAGCACATCAGTCAGACAAGATTAGGTGTACCAGTGGTGCCCAGCAATTTGTCAGGTTATGGGAACTCTATTTGTGCCTGTGTGTGGGCAAGTAAAATGAAGCAGACTGTTGAGATCAGATGAAGAGGCTTTGTATTATGTGGTATCAGACCTAGCCACATTAAAATCAAAGATTGATTTCTGAGGCTCCGTCATGTCCTGGAGCTTTCAGACAGCCACAAATCAAACTTCATCATGAAAAAAGACTTTGTCCTTAGAGCTGTGTGAAATGGGCGTTCTGGGCTGCTTTTCTGCTGGCAGATAGTATAGAAAAGCCAGCCAGAATGAGAATGAATGGCTGAAAATAAGCGTTCAGTTGTCCTCAGCAAATTCAATTACTGCAGCCAATTTTTTTAAATATTCGGCTGTGGTTTCTGTCAGAGTCAATGTGAATAGGAGGGTGAACTTCCTTCCAACTCGGGGAAGTGACAAAGGCAAGCCCCTGGAGCATCTCCATCAGCTCTGGACCCCCACAGTCTTGCCACACAGCCACACTGTCATCACCTGCGTTTCTAGCATACATCGTGGCTTCTTTGTAGATCTACGGACTGTGGTGTTTTCTGGGGAATGCAAGTTGCTAAAGCCCTTTGCACCTCAATTGGGTTATATTTTCTGTATAAAACTTGCTAGCAATATTTTAAATTAGTCAAATTTAAGTTGTCCTGAAGGGATTAATTCATGCAGGCTGCTTACATATTGCTTATTTTTCAGAATGTAAAAGGAAAAAAGTAGAGTGGTTAGTTTCACGCCAGCTAAAATTTCTTTTCTACCATTTACAGAGCAACTGCGCAGAAGTGCAAAAATTCTGAAGTAGGGCCCTACATTACCAATGTCACAGTGGCAGCTGAGGTGTGCAGCAGGCATCTTTGTTAGGACAATGCACAACGTGTGCGAAGAACCTGGAGAGCCTCAACATACCTACATTTGAATCCTAAGAGCTTCTGGATAGATGCCTCAGAGGACCAAAGATTTATTGTGAGAGGAAAAACATCAAATGAAGGTCTGGAAATAATGCTGGAGACATTTGCCTGCCACTGTTAGCAGGCTTATTGAAGGAACTGACTGTGGGGAAGTTAAAGTTGCTGATGACCATCCAGGGAGCCCTGCAGACTCTGTCTCACCCAGATTTGCAGAGATCTACCTGCTTCCGTTGCCTTTGATGAGTCTTCTCTAACTACTGCTTAGTCAAAGGGCAGGTTTCAGTCAGTCGAGAGGGATGGTAGAGTGGATACACCAAAAAGTCTCACACACTGTGCAGGTGGGGACTGGACATGTCATGGTCCCAGATGTAATCCACACCCTGCAGCTGTGCCCCAAAGTTTAATAAGGCACAGATAGAGTGGGCCACCTTGAAGGATGGGTCAAAAACGCACAGGTCATAAGAATATGTCTTCCCCTTGATCCCATCTCCTGAGATCATGCCGTTTAGGAAGCCAGAAGCCAGGTTTCTGCTCAGCTGACAGCCACAACCAGGACAGCAGAAGCCTGCTACTACTGAAAAAAATAACAGGATGTTCACTTTTTCCTTTTGTAAAGAGAGGAAGTGTCTACCCATATCTACCTCCTACTGGATGGCATACTGGATAGAGCACCCTCCCAGGAAATGAAAGATGAGGGGAGGTTTCTAGTTTCTTTTCCATTTGAGTGAATTAAAGCCCATATTCTCCTCTTTCATGCCCTGTGTGATGGAGGTGTTCATGCTTTGAGCCGGTAGAAAGGAATGAAAGAGTCAGGAGATCAGGAAGAAAAAAGGACAAGCCACACTCTGTTGGTTAGTGTATTTACTGAGAAAGGAATGTATATATTCTAATCTAACAACAAAGGGTCTTCCTCTGTTTTTTTTTAATGCCATGACTTTTCAAAATAGAATTAAGTGGTGCTGGGGGCAGGAGCTCCATCTCAGCCAGGTCTACTTCCATCCTGAATCTATGACAATACTCCAATGGCTTTTAAATTTAAAGCTAATGAAAGCACCCGAAGGCTATTACAGAGGTGCAGCAACAAGGATCAGGCAAGTTTATCATCTTTGACAAGAAACTTATTTATTTCCCAACTGCCATTGTATGTTCTGTCCTGTGGAGGGGGTGGAAAGGCTCCAAGGGCTCTCCTTCCCGTCAGCAGGGAAAAGAATGTCTTCTAGAGGTGACCATGAGCTGAAAGCATACCTGGCGTGCCTCCAGGGCACTCTGTGAACCTCCAGCTCCTCGGCTTCCCAGCTTCCCAGAGTTTAAGTATCCTTGAAAGAGAATCTACTTGAATGAAACAATTAAAAACTGTTCGGTTATTAATAATACGCATTAAAAGATGCATGTGCACACATATAATATATATGTGAAACAATTATGTCTTTATCTTGGAATCTCTGTAGCTGGAAAAAGATTAGACAAACACCCTTAAGACAAATAAGGGATCTATGAGACCTATGCTGAGTTCCCCTCTTTTTTTCTATTTGACCAAGGCAAAGGTTTGAAACATACCATCAAGCTCCCACTGGCCTCCATTATTCCTTTTGTCTCAGAACCTTAAAGATCCCATCAGGCTTAGACCTTTGTGATTTTGCACTTCTTAGCAGCTTTTAATTCTTCAAACATATGTTATTATCCTCATATCTAACCTCAGTGAGTTATTGCCATAATAACTATGTTAAACAAATGATTGTAAGGTGAACAAACACTATGTTAATAGAGCTCTTGAAGGAAAGTGAGAAAAACTCTCATTAATTTTTTTGACAGAACTCCATTGTAGAAAGAAATATTTTAAATTCCATTTAAGTTAGGGGAGACTGTGACTAAACCACAGCCAATCAATAAGAAATAAATTGAGTTTAGAATGATCCCTCTTTAAAAGAAAAAAAAAGAAATTCAGGCTATTTCTTTCAAAAAATAAATGCAAGATATCCACTAAAAATGTGTAAAGCATATTTTTATAGTGAAGAAAATTAGAGATATTTTGGCTGAAATTTTTTTGATGGAACAGCTTTTTCAGAAAAGTGGAGTTTGTTAAAATCAAAGTGCTGATTGTAGTGGATTTTTCAAGGGAAAAATGTAAAAATTACTCATTTGACATTCTGCTTGTGCTGTAGGACTGAAGTACATCCTAATAGGAAACAAGATGTCTCAATGTGTTCTGAGTGGCGTTGAATTAGACATTAGTTTTGACTCTGCTTGCTGTCTTTGTTAAGGTCACATCTTGCTGCTCATAATAACTAAATGATGGGAAAGAGAACCAGTGTTTTATAAACTCAAATCTCAAACTCTTCTGCATATGTGTTAAATTAGCAACTGTCTGTAATACATTAATGCATCGTATACAAATGTTATGATATTCCTTGGTACCCAAACATGTATCCAAGTATGCAGGCCCAGATTTCTCCCACCTAATATATCCATTGAAGTGGGACAACTAAATTAGAAGCTAGACCATCAGGGGTGAGGGCAGCTCCTGAGGACCGCTTTAGGCGCAGTGGGGTTTGGCTGCTTTCGAGGTAGGTAGCCCTTAGGCAGACGTTGATGGAGATGGCAGTTTTGGTGAGAGGGCCCTATATCCCACCTCAGTATCAATCCAGGCACATAAGCCTTGGTTTGGATCTGGGCCACATTTGCTCTTTAGGCAGAGATGCAATGCCTTTTTATCAAAGCGCAAACCAGCTCTGTCATATCGCTTCCTTCCATTGAGAGACAGAGGGTCAGTTTTTTTGTTTTTCAGTGACTCAAATAATTTTTTTCAAGTGCTCTCCTGCTATTCTGCATTCAGAGAAAGACGTCAAAATCCAGGCAAACAACAAAGCACAGGCCAGTACACCAAAACTGGGCTTTCAGATATTTCAGAAGTGTCTATCAAGTTTCAGCCTCTCTCTCTCTCTCAACAGTATTGGCAGGCCAGATGACTTTGTGAGGTTCAAGTAGCCAAGATCTGCAATGTGACAGTGATGACCTGCAGGATGGTAGAGTGACCACAGCAGGTTACTCCCCACAGCAGGGTACCCCACATGCAGAGTCTGTTCTCACAGGGAAAGCTGAACCTGTCATCCCTCTCCTTTTGAGGCTGGACACTCAGGCTACGAAAGATCTGGTATAAATTTGTATCAGCTGCACCTCTAAGATCAAACCATCTCTCTCTGCTCTTCTCCTGTGAGGAGCAATTCTGATTTCCAGTTTCATAACCCTTTGGTTTTCTGTCTTCTTCTCTTTGTGTTTCCCATTGCCTGCATTTCATGATCCTCAAATGATGTGTTGGCATTTGCATATTTCTTTCCTGGGATCTAACTATTATAGAGCATTCTATACAGAACCAGACTACTTAAATTTCAGACGGTTCCCCTGGGTGTCCATATCCTTAAGATTTAGGCATGCCAAAAATGAGCATTATGGTGACTAAATTATTTTATGGATTTCAGTAGGAGTTAGACACCTAAGCAGGCCTGAAAATCTGTACCTGGGCTCTCAGCAGCTGCACAGTTAACATTGTCGCATGTGGTATGTAGAAAATAATGCAGCATGTCATAATAAAACGGACAGAGGAAGAAATTATTCTAGCTGTATGCTTTTTCTCTGCAGAGGATTAAAGTTCAATTTATGTTATTATACCTACTAAATGCTAGTGATAAAATTAACTAATCTCTGTACATCCATGAGAATGGATGCTTTTAACATACCTTCTCTTATTATAGTACAAATTGTGATTTTTTCCTTTCATTGTTTGTGAGGCTAAACATTTCCTAGTAATACCATGTGAAAATAATAATATACGAAACTAAAAATCAGAGGACAGATGATAAGCACAGAAATAGTTTAGTCAGTGGTTCTGATGGTCTGACCCAAAGTCATATGAAGTCAACAGTAAGTTTCCCTTGCTTTCAACAGGCCTTGCATCGAGCTGGGGTGCCTCCCAGGGAATTACACCACAAGGGTCTTGAGACCTCAATAGATGCCTAGAACATTCCTAAAATAGATCAGAAAAAAACAAGTTTGAAGAAGCTTGTGTAGGCACCTAAACACAAAAGATATCTAAAAATTATCTAAAAGGGCTTCTTATCTAAGTTGTTAAAGGTTTTGGTAAGCTACCAAGCATTTAGATAACCAATAAATATCATCTGTGATTTGGTATTTAACAATATTTATTGGTATAAAGAATGAGAATAACCTTACACTTCCTTTCACCTAGCCAAAATATTAACAGTCAGCTAAAAATCTGCATGTATCTCACTAATAATTGAAACTGTGTACAATTTTCAGTACATCTATTTTTTAACAGAGGCAACCAAGGTTATTGAAATGGGTTTGTAGTTGTGAATGAGAACAGGACGTAAGGAAAACTGCTTTGACATTATTACCTGCTGATCACCCTCCTAGGCTCTTCTATGACTCACTTTGAAATGGGAAATCTGATACTAATTCTGAATTTTGGGTTATTTGGAACTTCCATTTCTAGTAATTCTCTGGTATTGACATGAGCCACATTTCCCACTGGCTTTATGTTGACAAAGATATCTTCTCTTTTTCCTTCTATTAACTGTCATCCTGGCAAAGGACAGATGTTTGAAGCTGGCACCTGGTTGCAGTCATACCATGAAGTGGCTGTAAAATTCATGGCCTTGTTCCTTCATCTAGATCCAATCACGCAAACCCCATCTGCATGCATAGCCAGTTAGGAGGTACAGAGCCAAGTGACAGCAAGGTTAAGCTAGTGTTTCAAATTAAATCAGAAATTCTGGTCTGGTGTAGGCAGCCCTTGTCCAAATCATCTTAACTTATTCAGTACTAAACTATTTTCCTCCCGTTAGCCTGGAGGCAGCTGAAGGGTAACGCTGCACCTTCTTGCCCAATTCTGCTGCTTGATCTTACAGACAGGAATTTTTCTTTATCAGTCAACAGTTCCAGATGTCTGGATGTTGATCTTAATCCCAGACTGGGGCTTTGCTGCAAATCAGTTTGACAGTCAAGTGCAAAATAGATTTGCCTTGGCATAATTCAGGTGCCTAACCCCCTGAAATGATGGTTAAACTCAGCAATAACATTGTTAAATACAGCATTTTAAACACCGTACAGATTGCATTACACATTCATTTTTAATTGTATTCTGTATTGAAATTGATGGGAATAGGGCTCCTAAGTACACTTAACAAGTCAGATTAATAGTTAGGAGTTTGTTTCTATTATTCTTAGTATCATGCAG